GAAACCTGAAGTTCCTGAAGGAATACAGCATGGACCATGTGCACGTTTTCCGTTCCGTATTGAAGGCAATAAAGTTATCTTTGATGTTGAGATGATACTGTCAGTTGTAAGTAACGTCTTCAAAAATCATAATTTTGAAAAATGTAATTATACCATTATCTTTTATTATGATTTCACAAAACAATGAAGCTGAAACGTGCATTTTTACAAAAAAATTTTGTTACATTTGGTTCATCCATCCGGATCACCTATTCCAATTAAATATGAATAAAGAAGACTATTCAAACCGTTGTAACTTCGTGGAGGAAATTGCTCGTTTCATTGTCTTTTATGAACAAATTTGAAAAAAAGAGCAAAAAAAATTACAATTCTGCAGGTTTCATCTTAACATTGTGGAGGCGGGGCCTTTCTGTTTTCTTTTAAACATTATAAACATTATATTAGTAAGTAAAAAGCAAATATGATATGTATGAACTTCAAATATCAATTAAATTCTTAAAAAAATTCATTTAAGTTTGTTATCTTACTATAGTTTAGTTTTGAGTAAGAAATTAATATATATTTCATTTCTTTCTCCATGAATATCATTTTTATGATATGTGATACATAAAAATTTCTTGAATCATTGTAATATTTTGTCAGTGTATAAATTATTATGTCCGGTTTCTATATCATTAAATGGATTTTTTTTTTTACATTTACATATAGGATAATGACAACAAAGAATTATCTAGTTAATTGTAAATGTTCACATGCTATAATGATAAAATGGACAGTTAAAGCACCCTAGCACCGCCTTTAATAGAATTCAATCACTGTAAACATTATTGATTGTTACAATATGAACGAAGTTGTAATTTATATGCACCATATTAATGTGAATTACAAAATATGACCTATACCATTATCTTGTTATTTATTGTATAAAGTAAGGTATTCAAATCATGTTATAAATTGTAGGTCTGTTAATTTAGATGTTGCAAAGCAGTTGAAAGGCTACGGGCCAAACAGTCAGGGAAAAGGAGCATCGTAAGAAGATTTATATGCTTATTCTCTTTTTCTTTCATTAACTGAAAGTTAGTTTTTCTTACATACATATAAATCCGTTCGGATAGATGTACGTATACGTATATAAACCTGTTAAGATTTACATATTTTGCATAGAGTTAGTTACGGTATAATTGTACATGTACAATCAGTCGTTAATATAATTTTAAATGATATTATTGCTAAAAGTGAATTTCCTAAAATTATTTGCAGTAACTTATTTGAAGTACAAACATCGAGTGGAACAACAGCTGTAGATGGCACGTGTCCAAAATTGAAAGCGTTCATAGTGAGAAATGGCATTGTTTATATCAAAACGTCACCAAATTGTCAAATGTAAGTAAGAATACTTCAGTCAGTTACTTAATCACTCTTGGATTTTTTTTTGAGTTGTAAATATAGATAAACATATCTGCTACGTCATAATACAATTATGCAAATATATTTTTTAATAAGTCAGCAAATTGTAATTTGTATAATAGAATAAGACGGTCAAATATACCAAATAGACAAAAGAATACGTTAAAGAAAAACTGAAAGACATGTCATTGTGCTTGTATACTCTCTCAGCGTTCCATCTTTTTGTTAATTTTGGTTATTAAGCATTACATTATCTTGTTACTATTTTAGAAACTGTTTATACACATCTTTATATGATTTATCAGTTTATTTAGGTAATTTCTGTTTTACAAATATATGAACCCTGAATATGAAGCACATATATTTGGTAAACACTTTATTTCAGAATTATACATCCTGACAGACTGACTACATGGAGGAACTAGTAAGTATTCTAGTATATATAATAATCAAAGCACAGAAGGCGCTGAATTTGTTTGGGTCTCAGAATGTCAGAAAGGTGAAGGTTGTGAGATTATAAACCAATTTGTTTGTATAGTGTCACCAATGCTGTTTCCAGTGTTATCACTATATTAAATTGGCTATAAGACTTATTGCAACACTGATATTCAATTCAATGTTTATTTGGCTTAAACAAAAAGCCAAAACAAAAAACCAAAACAAAAAAAACATGAGTTGCCTGAACTGGGATTTGAACTCCAGACCTCTCGCTTCTAAAGTGAACGTGTAAATCCCTCGACCATGGTGAGTTATGAGATAACGGCCTGAAGAATACCATATCATGCTAAATTAGAGTTTATAATCCTTATTAATTTCGATATATTTTGTTCACGGTAAACCTGTTGTTTAACGTTGTTTAACACTGAAGTTAATAATCATGGAGCTGAATATAAGCATGTATATATATATAAGAATAACACTATATTAGAAATCTTCGACCAATCGGGAACTATTTCGTCGTTACGAAAATTAATGCGCCTGTCATTTGACAATCTTTACGCAGTGAACTCCCCTTATTTTTTCGGCGTTAATGTTCATGTGAAGGGAAGTAATCGCTTCGAGGAGTTGGACTACTTTCGGTATTTGCAAATAAGAACACCAGGGTCTGAAATTTCGCTACCATTATTTGTTTGGTCCGACGACCAAAACAAATAAAAACGTGATATATGCCTTTCTTTACCGACACAAGAATCGAGTGAAAGCTATTCAAAGAAAGTTTATTATTTCATGGCACAGTTTTATAAATTTATTAATGATTAAATAGAGGATATTTGTTTAGTTCAGTGTAAGATCGGAATATATTTCACCGAGTGAGCACCAAAAGGTATATTTCACGAGTGGCGCAGCCACGAGTGAAATATGAACTTTTGGTGTTCACAAGGTGAAATATATTTCGATCTTACACTAAACTAAACAAATTTTCTTTTTATTATATGCAAAGAAACGTTTTAAAAAGACATTAAACCTAATACCGAATGAAAAGCGCGCCAAATAAAATTGCAACATGACGTCATTTACTGACGTCACGTCATTAAGTTGGTACCCAGTTCTGTGCACGCTGGTATTTCACTGAAACAACATAAGGGGCCTAAATTCAAAACAGTGAAATTATCAAAGTGGTAATTTCACTGTTTCAAACAGTGAAATTACCAGTTTTATATCACTGATATATTTCTATAAACCACCGAAAAGCATGTAATAAAGTAATATCATTTTCTTTTCCGTTTTGAGCGATCCCAAGTCATTTTCCACATTTTGCAAACAATGTAGAATGATTAGCGCGGCAATACAAGTAAAACTATTGTTAATGAGGTGCAAGACATGAACTTAGAAACACATCATTGTTTTAATCTTATAAATTAATTTTCTGCAATTAGTAGTACTATATACAGAATTACCGACCCACAAGGATTAAATATATTAAAGTTAAAATGTTATATAAGTTATACTATAAGACGAAAAGAAAATGACAGATAGAAGTCATGTAATAATATTAATTACATGTATACTGAACACATTAATGCGGTTTTTCTGCTTCTTTTTCCAGAATTGTTACAACAAAGGCTGTGGTTGATGTGAGAAGGTTAAAGTGTTCCATAGAGGAAATAGCCGACAGTTAGTTATGTACATAGAAGAGACCAAATAATGGAAACCCTTAATAATTGTTTGTCAAAATATACTTTTCAACATTCATTTTGTAACAAAAGGCATTATTCATGGAGACTACTATTTCGACGAGACCCGAGTATGAACGCTGAATAAGTTAAATACCCGCTGTTTGTACATAGACTACAACAGATAACGTCATTTTACATTGACAGAAGAACTAGTAAAATAATAATTATTGTTGAAGCAGTGTTTAATACTTTTAACGTTGTTGGTGGTTTTTTCTCCAAATTATGCCAAACTGCATCTGTAACTTAAAGTTATGTACGCATTATGTTACGAGTAATAAATCTAAGGATACCATACTGACTTCAACTTTGTTAATTCACTACCACATTAAAACGGACAAAATATTAAACATAGATCCATATAGTATTTCCTCTGCCACGCGAATCCCTCAGAGTTGAAAGTTGAAAACTGCGATAAATCAACGAAATTCTGATGTTATGTTAGTAACAGCACCCTTAAAAACATTTATTCCGATGATTTCCCGCTTCATGACATATACAGCACCCTTTATAATAGTGTCATATTTTTCAGATTGATCAGTTGTATCAGGAAAAATATTCATCACAGACATTACACGAGTTCTGACATTTGTTTCGGAGAACTTTTGGCATCATTATTATCTCAGTTTGTCAGCTCCATCATGAACTTCTAGCACAAGCTGCAATAAAATTAAAGAAACATAGATATAACAGAACATCTACAGCAAACAAATAACATCGCAATGCTTACTACATGTTTATCACACACCCGTGCCGATTTTGCGACTCCGTAAAATGGTATTGCACGGCCGTGCATATATTTTGACGTGACGTCATTAGCGTTATACAAACATAATGTAAAGAAGCGCTAAATATTAGCGTTATACTATAGGCGCGTCAATGAAAATTGACTCTTATTTCACTTTCAACGGTCTTTATTTTGGGTATGTGATAAATAGAATATTAAATTCGTGTAAGTTCATTACTGAATTTATTGCACTAGTTGAATAAAATAATATTATGCTCGCCAGAGGCTCGCATAATATAATTTTATTCAACTCGTGCAATAAATTCAGTATTGAACTTACACTCATTCAATATCCTCTATATATAGAAGTGAATTTCAATGAAATTACTAGTAGTTTTGATTGGTTTATGTTTAAGTTATGAATAATATTTTTTAAATCTACTATACAAAATATACTCTAGATTAGCTAATAACACTTAAATCTCACGAACTTTATAAGGGACGGAAATCTCAAAGCACTGGGAAAAGTCAAGGAAAAGCTGTATCCGTGTGGTTTTGTATGGTGGTTGTGAGGTTATCCAAAACATGTTTTTCCTCCAACATAGATCTAGAATACAATTTTCTACAAAAGTATTGCATATAAAAATAGAAACAAAAAAACATCCCCAGAATCTATGACTTTTTGTATGCAACATAGATACCATCTTTTATACAGACGTTACACATATTAATTAATCATTATACAGTGAAATAACTTACGCAAAAGTACGAAGTTGAAAATAAATCTCGGATCCTCAAACGTTATGCTAAGTTTGGACTCGAGTTCATTTGCTGCATCGGCCCACGGAAACTGATTTGGTGGATCATGTGTTGTGTCTAATGTGACATAATAAGTATCTCTGCACGCGTATGGTGACGTCTTCATATCCGTGCAGGACATAAAGAATACATAGTCCTCTGGGCGCTCTGAGAAAAACATTATACGCTCCGTTTTCCCATCATCCATTTCTGTGTAATACAAAAAAGTATCGTAATTAATATTTTAATTTTCAATTTATGTAACCTATTTCATTTTATATAGAAATACAGAATGTAATAATAGATATAGGCCCCTAAATCAAATTAAGTAATTTTCCCGCTATATATCTTAAATGAACATGTATATCTTTCAATCTGTAAAATTTGAAAATGTTTACTAACTGAATAGCGAACAGTACAGACCATGATCAGACTCAATTAATGTGCCAGATGATATTAGTCTGCACCGGTCGCATGGGCAGCAGCAGGCTAAGGGCTTAAAGAACTATAACACACGAATATACTACAGTTCTTTGAATTGTCAATTTACGAGTTTAATGATTTAATGAGGACGTACTAAACAATTAAATATATTTAAATATTAAATAACAGTAACATTATAATAAATCTATAAAATATGTCAATGTTTTATTCGGATAATTAACAATGTGAATTTTGCCTACCATAGGCAATAAACATTCAGCAAAAGTATAGTATGACCAAATTCTATTTTGTTTATACATGTAGTTAAATTTTGCATTTTATATTGAAAATCCTATTACATAAATGAATACATATCAGAATGGTTTGTTTCAAAAAAGCAAATCCACCGGGCAAACTCGATCATTGTATCAGGAAATTGATTGAAAAATTCAAGCGTCTATGTGTTGTTTGAACAATCATTTCTACATTTTGCAGCAACTTATATATTCTTTCAGAAATAAAAGTTATAAGATAAAAAACATCTATGTATTCATTAATAGCTTGATTTATTCATTTCTTTTCTCAAATTCAAAAACGAAGAATGAATATATATCCGTATAATAAATGAATGCTAGGTTTACCTTTTTCAAACATTGCAATATCTGTGTTTCCAACAAGATTTCCCATTTTAAATTTTTTGATTTCTTGGCATTTTCTTGAGTATATAAATCTATAAAAAGAAAGAAGAAAACGATTTATCTAAATGTGCTGATTCAAGTTCTCGTTTCCTTTTACTTTCTCTAATATTAATTTTCGGTTGGGTTTTAACTCGCACCAACACATGGCGAATTTTCAGCTTTACTGGTGGATGAAGACATCGGGTGCTCTTCCGTGCATTATTTCGGGTACGCACGGGCACCTGAGGTGAACAACCAAGGTTCTGTAAGTTAGCTGGATAGCTTCCTCACATGAAAGAACCCAAAGCCCCTGTCGGGATTCAAACCAACTGCGATGAGTGTCAATTGTTTTTGAAATCAACGACCTTCCCATCGGTCACGGACGCTATAGGAATCGCGCCAATGGAACAGTTTTATATAATCAGTCAATATACATTGTCATTGTCACTGAAAAGGATTTAGACAATGCGCATAAATTCTATTTACTTGCTAATAAAATTCTGCATTTAAAGCGACTCCGCTTTGTTTTGCACATGACGGACTGGAAATATTTTTAATCGAGATTAATGTTCCATTTGATGTAGGTCTAGACCAATAACATATGTGCAAAATTTCTAAGCTAAAATAGCATAAAATTACGATTTTCAAATCATTTTAGCATATTTTATTGTTTTGTATATCTTTCTGATTTAAGTGCCCCATCTGATCTATGTTAGTAGTTCTAATTTTGTTATAGGCTTTTGCCTGGACTTCATACAATTATTGTTTAAATTTTGAAAAAGAATGCTTCCAAAATAGTCGAATGAATAATATGATTGTATATTTTTTTCTAAGAAGGACAAAATCTTTGCTTAATTGTCGGTCACTTGTTTAAATCCCTTCTTCAAATAACAGCATAATACTATGTTCTGTTTACGTACAATATTCATGTTTGTTAAATAAGAGATACATTCTTCATAATAACTCTTTTGCTAATCAGCCATTAGGAACAACATAATATAAATTTTATGAAAATATTTCATTATATATAGTTTTATACTCTTTAAGACAGATCGATCGTATATCATAATCATGGTGGTTTAAGCTGCTCTTCATTTCAGAGTGATTTCCCTTACATGTATGCTTTATATCACCAAATTGAAAATATGAACGTGAAAAACTATTTAAACAGAATCCAGGATATGAGTAATGTCTTACCGGAATAGAAAAGATACATAAAGTTCTCCGTCCTCTATTGTATATATCGCCTCTAGCTGACGCACGTGTTGAAACAACTTCTTCTCCGACTCCTCCAGAATGTACAACTTCTTTAACGGTTTACCAAGCACCTGTTTTAATAATTAATAATAAAGAAAGATAATTCAGACTTTTGTTGTGAATAAGAATACTAGAATGAGCGATACTCAATTTTCAACACTTTTCAAGTGCTGGAATCAATGACCAAAAAAAAATATAACAACACTAAGTTTCATCTATGCTAACACTGAAAGCAAAGATATCATTTCAAGAGAAAATATATTATTATAAAATAATATTATCCATCATTTTGTGAAAGGTATTGTTATGGAAATTTATTTCCATACAAAAAGTAATAAGAGCTTAAAAAGAACATAAGTTAATTTTTTTTCCATGTACGAAGCACCTACTTTCCTGACGCTAGTATATCCGAGAGCAGGCACTTCTAGAACCTAAGGAGTTAACAAAAGTTGTATAAATTTTACAAACAGTGAATATAATCATTCGTGCCATGAAGTTTTTACAAACATGAACAGAGTCGAAAGAGAGATCACGAGGGGAGCGGTTGCCTCTTGGTTAGGGTGTCTGCCGCTCAACACAGGGATCATGGGTTCCCTACTCAGGTCACAACCATATTTCTTCATATGCCACCAGTACGAAAGTGATTAATATAAGTTGCAAGAACTTGTTTTGCAATCGAGCTAGAATAAAAATGTTTAAACTAAACTAAAGAGAGATCATGATCCTGTTTCTAAATAAAGAGGTGCCTATTATTCAATTACCTTGTTCTTTAAAGTTGTTAGACTCATTGGCCTAGGGAACCTCTGATATTTTATATCAGAAGTAAATATATCAAGCGGTGTTACATCCTCTGGTCTTCGCACTGTAGGCGCTGCAGCTGTGGGCCGGTTCTTGTTCACAATTTTAGGTGTTGTAGGAGTTGTCATCTTTGTAGATCTACTCCACGTTGTTGCCATTACTGTTGGTGATTCTGTTGTTATCACTGTCGTTTCAGGTATTGAAATATCTCTGACAGCGTTGCCTGAAAACATAACGAAAATTATTTGTGAATTAAAGAAAGCACATGTGTTTTGTATGTATGTATGTGCGTGCGTGCGTGCGTGCGTGCGTGCGTGCATGCATGCATGCGTGCGTGTTTGTATGTACGTACGTACGTACGTATATATGTATGTATGTATGTATGTATGTATGTATGTATGTATGTATGTATGTATGTATGTATGTATGTATGTATGTATGTATGTATGTATGTATGTATGTATGTATGTATGTATGTATGTATGTATGTATGTATGTATGTATGTATGTATGTATGTATGTATGTATGTATGTATGTATGTATGTATGTATGTATGTATGTATGTATGTATGTATGTATGTATGTATGTATGTATGTATGTATGTATGTATGTATGTATGTATGTATGTATGTATGTATGTATGTATGTATGTATACAAAATCAATAACATACTTTTACAGTATAAGAAAATAAACAAAATACTGTTATTAATACAGCCAGAAAAAGTCAACTAGTGATACATATACTGGTACCTGTAGTGTCAACATTGTGCAGATTGTCAGCATTAGCTTCTGCTGGTTCCACTATGTTTTTCAAAGGCATTTTATTGTCATATGCGTTATCCAAAACTGCCATTGTGGGGGTTATCTTCGAATCATAATTTTCACTTATCGCTTCATTCCTTGTCATAGCTTTATGTCCTGTATCCTCCTTCCTTAACGTGTTTTCGTGCAGCACTTCGTTAGTTTTCATTTGATCAGCATGGACTTCATTGTTATTTATTTTGTCAGAAGAAATTTCATTATTTTCTCTATCACTAGACGAGTCTTTATCGTGTACTTTTATATCAGATGAAACTTTATTGATATTAACTGCATTAGCTGAAATTTCACCGTCTTCAATAATGTTAGCTGAATCTACATTGGTTCCTGTAACAAGTAAATTAGCTGAGACATCGCTGTGTTCTTTATCAACAGATAAGCTATCGGTATGCTTGATTTCCTTTTCTAAAACATCATCAACACCAGTTAGGTCATCACTGTGTTCATCAACATTAGCTGGGACTTCGTTACTTTCTACTTCATTAGCTGGGACATCACTGTGTTCTATAACATTAGATGGAAAAACGCTGTGTTCTACTCCATTAGCTTGGACATCGATGTGTTCTACTCCATTAACTGGGACACCACTGTGTTCTATATGGTTCGATGGGACATCGCTTTGTCCTATTACATCAGCTTGGACATCACTGTGCTCTATTATGTTAGTTGTGGCATCATTATTATGTATCACATTAGGGGATACCTTATTATTTTCTAATTTATTTGACGAATCATCAGTGTTAAGTATATCATTAGGAGAAACTCTTTCACTTCCATTGGAATCTAACGTTTCATCGTTGACATGCACAGTTTTACTCTTTATGACACCATCTCCACTGCTTGCAATGACTCTTTGAGTGTGGCCATTCGGATTTTTCTCCTCGATAAAAACAGTAACAGTCGGTCGTAGACGATTTTTTGAATCGTCTTTAGCTACAACTACAGCATCGTTTTCCGAAACAGATTGAACACTTGAACCTAGAGTCTTTGCTCCTGGTTTTATATTATTATCTTTGTGCAAACCATGATTCTCATTATTTTGAAGTGAGTTTGTTCTTATATTCAATTCAAATTCATTACTTTTTGTATTATCCCCATTTCTTTCTTTTACAGCAATAGCATTTGTTATTGTTTTGCTTGCGTTTGGATGATGCTGGTTCACATGTTGAATAATGTTACTGGAGACGAAAGAATCCGTTCCACCCTTGGTTACATCGCTTTGTTTCTTAGTTAACAAAGTTGTCTCGCGATCTTGCTGTTCGGAGTGTTCATGCAGTATGTTTGGTATTGATTTAAATTCTCCAAGCTGTGGTTTCGACGACATCTTTGTTTTGTTGTTTCTGTCATTTTGTGATATTGCGACGACTGAATTACTGTTCCTTTTTAATACAGAATTATCATTTCCGGATTGCATAATACTTTGTTGATTTAAAGATTGTGATATTCTCGTGGCAGCATCCGATATTTTCCCCTTAAGATGTCTAGCTTCACTGAAGGAAATTGTCAAGATTAAAATTACACAAAATAGGCAATTTCTATTAAATTTCATTTTTATTTCTTCCTTATAATCCAATGTTAAATACTCTGGTATACAAAAGTGTCTAACAATAACAATCGTAAAGTTATTAATCAAAATCGATAATTGAGCTTCAATAAAACACACCTTTCAAGTCAATTTCCTCGTTTTTGTAGCATGTGTAAAATGCCCAAAGGCCTGTTTTATATTTCCCCTACTATACAAAATGACAAATTAAATTTTGTTGACTGTTACATGGATATACCGCAAATGCGTGTTCAATAAGGTAGTAAAAATTTATATAAAAAATAGAAAAAAAAGTTCCTTACTTTTACTGGGATAAGTAGAAATTTAATCCATATTAGAAAAATAATTATTTTCTAACTAAAAGAAGAGAAAAACAACCCAGATTTAATTCAAAATATATTTATATGTCTGATATTTACTCTACATGTAAATTTTTCATCATATATAATGTTTAGATATGTAGAGTCTGAAGACGAAAGATGTGGTTGTTTCCCACTTAATTAATTATCTTTTAACTAATGAAACGGTATTATTCTGCATTTAAAAGAATAGATAAAAAATAGAGAAAGACAGAATCCCTAAAGAATGCCCGACACGGCAATTTTGAAAATGTTGCAGGGTCAGTTTGATTGAGCCTGTTCATGGACGGTACTGAGAAGTGCAAGTCACCGTCCATACCCCCTAGCACTGGCTTAAGCAAAATTCAACATTTAAACACGAAAATAATGAAATTTTGGATTTAGAAACATCCGCAGATGTGTTCATACGGTGGTTATCTTGGAATCTTCACTGTGACACAGTAGTTCCATTCCATGTAAAGCGGCGTATGGTCCCCAAATAAAAGAATGCGTGTGTCTTAAACAGAAAAAAATCGGCGGAACTAAATAAAATGGAATTTTGAAAGGAGATCTGAGGTTCTGAAACCTGCATATCACAGACAAGACGTCAAAAGACAAATTTATAAAGCAGACAACATATCTTAAGGGTCATTATACAGTATTTAAGTAGGAATATTGGAACCACCCAAGTTGAAAAGGGCCAAATAGAAGAAATGTGGAATCTGAAATTAAAAGTGTCTAAAGCAAAAGTTATGATTTTTGAAAATGGTAGACATACATCTTATGTTTTTTTTTTGTATAACACTAGAATTGAAATTGTAGAATCTTTTCAATATTTAGGTGTGACTATTTTAATTTAGGGCAGACTGCTTGTTTTTTATGTGGGAAAATCAGTTTACTGCATTTAGATTTAGTATTATTTAACAACGAATTTTAGTCATATTTTATCAAATTTGGTATTCTCCAATTGATAACTCGTTTAGATTATATACATATTGTTTATTTAAACGTCCATTTGAATTTGAACATTATAGACCTTTTTACAATACGATTTTCCATAGCAACGAATGTTGCATTTCGCGCATGCGCATTCTGCGTAGGGCAAAAAGCAATAACGATATCTACAGTTTATCATACTTTAAGGCTTTAATAGATGCGATTTCATGTTATGTCACCCAAAAAATATTAATTTTGGGATGACTTAAGGCGGTAAGTACTGAAAACGTGAATTTTTTTAACAGATCTACGAAAATGTGCGGGAGTAATAATTCAATGGTCAAAACGGGCACACACATGTCTTTGTTAAAGGTATCATTAGACGACTTTTCCATCACGATCGATGATGTGATAAAGGCTATTTCTACCCTTAAGAGTGGTAAAAGTGCTGGTATAGATAAACTTATTCCGGAGATATTTATTGAATGCAAAACAATTTTAGCACCAATATTATGTAAATTGTTTAATCATATTTTCAATTCAAATGAATATCCTGAATCGTGGTGTAGTGGTATTATTGTACCAGTGCCCAAGAAGGGTAACCTAATGATGTGAATAATTACAGGGGTATCACCCTTACTAGTATATTTTCTAAACTTTTCTCAATATTGTTAGACATGAGATTACGTAAATGGGCCGAAAGTAATGAAATATTGAATGATTCCAGTATGGTTTTAGGAAAGATAAAAGTACTAAACTGATTGCATTTTTGTTTTATGTTCAATTATTAATAAGATAATACGTCATGAAAAGAAAAGGTATATGCATCATTTATTGATTTCAAAAAATGTTTTGATATGTTATACAGAAATGGAATATGGTTTTAAATTGATTGAATCTGGTGTATCATATAAAGTTGTAAACAATGTTACGAAGTATGTATAATTGTGTGAAATCTTGTGTAAGAGCAAATGGTTGCCTGACATATAATTTTGAGAGTTATATGGGAAACACTCTCACCATTGTTATTTATTTTCTTCGTAAATGATATGCACGAAAAATTTACAAATAGATAATGTTGATACATTTTATTAGATAATATACAAATATTTTTTACTATTATTTGCGGACGATACAGTTTTATTCTCTTATTCTAAGGAAGGATTGCAATGCCTCCTTAATAAACTTCATACATATTGTACTAAGTGGGGTATTGTGGTGAATGTAGAAAAAACGGTTGCTATGGTTTTTAAATCTGGAAATAGAAATGAAAATGTAAAGATATATTACAATAATGAGCTACTTAGCGTTGTTAAGTCATTCACCTATCTTGGTGTTACATTATCGTCTAATGGGAATTTTTATCAAGCCCAAAAGGCGTTATCTAATCAAGCGCTTAAAGCACTATATACTCTGTTAATTCTCTTTTGAATCAATTTCCCTTAATGTCACAGAAAAAATCAAAATTTTTGATAGCATGGTTTTACCGATTCTTACATATAGTTCAGAGGTATGGGTTTTTCATAAGGCACCAGACATCGAAAAGGTACATTTGAAATTTTTAAAAACAAGTTCTTGGTGTACGTCAGCAAAACTACAACATCAGCGGTTCTTGGTGAATTTGGACGATTTCCATTATTAGTTCTGCGAAAAGTCAGAATTGTTAAGTACTTGTACAGAATTATGAAATCCCCAAACTCTCTTTTATACAAGTTTGGTATTTTTAAAAGATGCAAATGGTAATATTTGTTAAATAGCTTGGTCAAAAATGTTAAAAAATATGTTGTCAGACTTAGGTTTTTCATGTCTATGGAATAATGATAATATTTCACTTGTGCATGTTAATACTATTATACAAAGAATTTATGATCAGCAGCTACAGCAATGGTGTGCCGAACTTAATACTTTCTCAAAGTTAGAAAGTTTAATTTTGTTTAAAATTGAATTTACCCAAGAAAAATTTTTAAGTTGTATTAATAATGTAAAAACATCGTAAAATGCTATCAAGGTTTAGGTGCTCTTCGCACAAAAATTAGCTATTGAAGAGGGTAGACATAGACATATTGAAAGAAACCAACGCCTCTGTACAAAATGCAATATGAAACAATTGAAACTGAATATCACTTCTTATTAGTATGTCCATATTATAACGACTTAATGAAAACATGTTTACCTAGATATTATTGCTCATGGCCTAATCTAAATAAATTCATATCAATAATGAAATGTACGAACAAAAATGTAATTGTTAACTTAGCAAAATTTGTTTATTCAGCAATGCAACTGAGAAATGAATCTACTTAATACATTTGTTTGAAATAATGTACGCTGATAAATAATTATGTATATGTATAATTTATCATGTATGTATCTTACTTTTCTGTACTTTGTACCGCCAAAATGTTACTTGGCGATGAACATGTATACATATGTTTTTGCCAATAAATTATTTGACTTTACTTGACTTGACATCAGTAATTTAAATTGAAACAGCAGGGTGTTAAAGATAAAATTTTATTACCCCTGTATTACATAATATTACAAAATTTGTATTGTACACTTCCTTTGAATAACTGGATTGGTCAGGCGGCAAGTGTCAAACAGATTGGCACGCGAACGTTTGTTCATTCAACCGGGACGTTTAAATATCATGATATAGTTAATCAGTTACGCTTATTATGTAACTTTTAAATATACCGATCAATGTTTATGGATTTTGAGAGGAGAAAAATTGTGTGACGTGCATAATTAAAAATAACATGTATTACGAAGAAGCGGATAAAATGTGTGTTATATTCTTTTCCAAACAACCCATCTTAAAGTTCTCAAGATTTTGAAAAAAAAATTATTTAAAAATCTATTTATGTGACTTATATATTTTTCTGCTTGCATCACAGGCAAATCGGATAAAGGATATAATCAGGTATATTGAACACTAAAAATGCATTATCACCTGTTCTGATATTTTTTCTGAATGATAATTAATCTCGATTTCATGTTATATAATTTCTTTTGTTTTTAAATGAACTATTTCAACAGCAAATAAGTTGACTTTTCATTTGCTAATAGATATATTTCCACATCTTCTTTAAATCAAAGGGCTGCATGCTCTGTGGTATTTTCTGATCTTTCCTGTATAAGTTTATTTTTATATACTATTATTCATCTTACGCAGCGACAGCGTTTAACAGTTTGTGATTGATACATATGGAATTTTGCATGCTTAGAGTTGCATCAAAAATCATTTTTCATTTTTTATTACAGCCACACTTTATCCTTGCATATTTCGGCAACTTCCTTAAAAAAGAAACTTCAAAAAAAAAAATGTTGCCTCGAACCTTAGGCCTCTCACACCCTAAACGAGCGCGCTACCTCAGCACCACAGTGAAGTAATACGTATGTAGCGTGAATAAAAACAAATATATTATAATTCTAAAATTGAGAATTTTCATTTCGTATTTGAAATCCTTATTAATTTCGAGGTATTTTGTTCACGATAAACTGTTGTTAAACACTGATGAAAATAATTTAGCGAAAATCTTCTCGCCAAAACAGTCCGACATGTATTATTCCATTACTCGACAGTCAGATTCATTTGTGTACTACGCTCTGGAGTATTCGGTATCG